TTCATCTTTTCGGAATCCGTTCTATACCGTTCTCATTTTGAAATGTTGGATAACGAATTCCAACACCTAACGAAAATTTTCTCGAATAATTCTGTAAAAAGAATTTTCTGCAGAATTGCCTGAGGGTGTGGGTGTGAGGGTGTGGGTGTGGGTGTGGGTGTGGGTGTGGGTGTGGGTGTGGGGTGTGGGCAAAGTGCAGAGAAACACCCACGCCCACACCCTCAAGTTCAGTCATGTCGTTATTGAATCATCTGAAAGACAGGAAAACCATCACTTTGGAACAATGGAGACTAATGATGCCTGATAGAACAAAATGTGAGCTACTTCATTCATACTTTATTTCCATAGCACACAAAGTAAGTTTCGAATCAAAAGGTTCATTGAATATTATCCTCTGTCTTTTTGTTCTTCTTATCAACCGCATGTGCCACTACGACCGATCATATCCTATCAACGATTTACAGTGCTGTGTTTCTAACTTTCTAAACGAGCTTTTGTCGGCTTTCTACCTGAAAGTGGCACGAAACACAACTTAAATCAGTGGTATCGATGTTATTCGTCATTTTTGACGTTACCAATCTGTACACCATGATACCACGAAATGATCGCATCAAATTATTTGAAGAATGGTGCCATAAGAAATCTCAAGATTGATGCAATCTTACTATCTTGAGGGTGTGGGTGTGGGCGTTCTTTCAATTCATACATACGAGAGATACAACCAGTTGCATTTCTAGCACACCCCACACCCACACCCAAGTGTGTTATCCTAATGGACTCTTCATCGATACGTTAGGTACACTCTATGTAGCAGACTTGTTTAATCATCGTGTAATGCGTTGAGTGTGGGTGTGATTCTTTTGCTAATGTATACCCACACCCACACCCTATGATCCTGTCGACATATTAAATTGCGATGAAACTGGACTTTTTTGCAAGATGATGCCTGATCGATCGTTAACTGTAGACAGAAATGATTGTGAAATAGCGATAAATCAAAGGAACGCTATACCGTGATGTTGTGCACCAATTGGGCCGAAAATGAAAAGTTGAAACCAGTTGTCATTGGTATGTTAGTCTTCATCAATTTTTATTTTATTGTACCTCTTTTTTTGTTCATGTTATAGTTAAATCAGCCCGGCCTAGATGTTTCAGAAATATTGACTTGAAGAAGTTGCCCGTCTTATGGTACAGTAATCGTAGCTCTCGGATGACTTGTTAACTTTTTACTGAATGATTGCAAGATTCTGATTTGATTATGCAGAAACAAAAAAGACACATTCCACTCTTCCTTGACAATGCACCAGTTCATTCTCCAGATGTACAATTAGAAAATATCAAGTTAAAAATCTTTCCACCAAACACGACAGCAAAGATTCAACCGATGGATCAAGGAGTTATTCGAGCATTCAAAGTTTATTACCGACATCATCTAGTCAAGCATATAATCACCAGTGTTGGTGTTGCTGTAACGGCCGACGATATTAATATCACTGCTTTAGATGTTGTCTATTGGATTTAAGGCGCATGTGAAGCAGTGTCAGAAACAACAATAAGGAACACATTCAAATCAGCCGGTTTTGAAAAGATTTCTGTTATCGATGGAATCGATGCATCACAACAAATTTCAATAACAGATGAAATTATTTCTGCAGAAGATAAATCAATTGAAGAATTAGATCGAGTATTGAGACATTTAACCATCAGTGGAAAACCAATGTCTGGCTATGATATTATGTGGTGAGATGTGGGAGAGAAATTTTGAAAAATATTTTTCATTTTTTACGTTTCACTGTTTCAGAGTATTGATGATAATGCTCCATCATTTAACGAATGGAATGATTCGAATAATAAATTATTAGTAATTAGCGGAATTATCAATGATGATGGGGATAGTAATGAAGATCAACTGAATGACGATGTTCCAAGTGAAGATCCACCTTCCTTATCTGAATGTTAAGACCTAGTTCGTCGTCTGCGCTTTTTCTCGACAATGCAACAACCAGAATTACATTCGTTCATTATTGAATTATAGTCTAAATCAACTGATGCACTCCTCGATTCTACTTTATCAAAACAAAGATCTATTCTGGATTATTTGAAATATGTACCTGTTTAATCTTATGGATTTCTTGTGAAATAATTCTTTTTTATATAAATAAATTACAACAGTTCATCAGAAGTGAACTAATAGTGCCATTTAATTCGAAAAATCTCTATATTTCTACAGACCCCCGTCCTTTGTAATCACCCTGTTAATCTGAACGATTTTTGAAAGTACCGACAGTGTTCAGATAAGAGAGGTTTTACTGTATATATATTGGTAAATTGTTGAACTCTGATATTAAAAAAGAATGATATAAGATTAGATTTTTGATAGTATTCAAAACAATTTTTACTTTCTAATACATTGTACTAGCCATTACGATTGATGTATGTTTGATATCTTTATTTGAAAAAGAATGGTTGTTCATTTTAGATAAAAAATGTGTAATATATTGTAATTTAAAATAAGTATATAGTATATCAGATATATGTATTTATATAGAAATATACACCCATAAGGACTTGAAAAGTTTTATCGTAAACATCGAATGAATTTTTTCTTTTTTAATTTCATATTAAATTATTTTGCATAATAGATTAAAAAAGCATCATATTTCGATAGAATATTTAATAAATTTTAATTTATTTTGCAAGAAGTAACTGTATTTTATTTAATAACAATATTTATCTTTTAAAAGCTATTCCAAAAATTAAATAGTTATACACAAATTTTAATAGATACACAGATTTAAAGATAAACGAATAGATAAACTGTTTGTATCATTGAAGCAAATCTTTTTTTCTGAGAAATAATTTTAATATACATATATATGATTCTAAATAAAAGTTTTACATAGTGTTTATTATTTCACTCTTTTCCTCTTTTTTTTTTAATAGACAGATAGTTCTGAAAAGATATATAATTTTAAATACCTACAGGAATACCTTAATATTTATTCAAACGAAATCTTAAATTGCTTCTCATATATGGTTTGAGCAGGATTGAAAAAAAGAACAGTTAGAGACCAGAATTAGAAAGAATAAAAAGAAGTAACTGAAGAATGCTATAATGTTAGAAATAGATGTACTATTTTTAATAGCCAATTTTTTTTAATAAATATGAAAGAAAAACATAAAAACTGTTTGTTTAATTCAAAATATTATTTCTTTTCGAAGATAATTTAAAATCGATATGCATGATTTTGCATAAGTATATAATAGGCTTATTAACTATTAATAGTTTTAACCAGCTGTAAGATTTTCACATGCAATAGGATTTTAAATAGCGGCATGCTTAATTAAAAAGTATCTCTTTTGAGAAGCTACGCATATAATTACTTGTATGAAATACTAGTATAATAAAACTCATAAAAAACAAACTGCAGGTCTATGATACGTGTTACCAAACTTTTACAAACCGGTGTCTAAAATCTTGTTGCACATCTTGATAGAAGAATAATGTGAATGTGTTGATGTTGCAGCAAAAATTTTAAGATCTAAAACGATACATTTTTCGATGACTTTTATTATGATTATGAACTTGCTTTTACGATGTTTTACAAAAAAAAAACGTATTTCTGAAGGTGGAGACCTTGAAGACACGATAACGAAAATCCTGGAAATTTGATTGTACCCAGAAAAAAGTACTTGACAACAACGTGGGATGCTATTAAATCTATTTCTAGATTAATTTAAAATGCGACGTTGATTTTTCAAATCATTAACTATTCATCGAACACACATGTGTGACATCTGCCTGGCCCCTAATCATGCAACTTAATGGACACAAGCTGTTACGCGATCACGCTCGATTGTTTCTTCAATATGTGCTCCCTTTCGCTGCGCCAGATTTATCGAGTACTATAAATCCTCGTTTTTTTTTCATTTTCAAAAGATTTTCCAACTCATACAAATCGAAGCTGTTGGTTCGCAAAATGGCATTATATGGTTGTTTGCTTTATGTATGGTTACCATTGCTGGTATTCTTGTTACAAGCATTTCACGGTGGATTTGCACAAAGTAAGTTTATAGATTAAATCTTATAGACCTTTGATATTCTGCTGTATAATGAAAATATATGTTGTGATAGCTACACTTCTAGCAGATTGGTTGATCTGAATGATTCAACTTGTTTCCTAAACAAAATAAGAACTGTCGCTCAGTTCTCTTACTTTCGTTATAGTTTTGCGACACTTTCATGTCATCTAAGACAACCCGAGTTGATAACATAAAGTTCAACAATCACGTTTGTTCATGCAATCCCAAAAATGCTTTCACTTTCTTTTTTCTGATGAATTTTTCAACGAAATTCATTTCTGTATGCTTGAGAAAAGAACCAAGCGCATGCTGATATTGTTGCTTGCATCTATGATGTTGCCAACTTTTGCAAGTGAAATAATCTACCATAATTTCAATCTTAGCTATTCCACCCTATTGCCTCATGCCGAATCACATCAATAACATTAAGTTGCAGATTTACGAACGACACTTGTCCAACCTATACCTACAGTAGCATGGGTTTTCCTTGGTACTTTGATCTTAATGCAACGACAATAAATTTCCTGGTAAACAATATCACTTTCAATCTAGCGAGAATACGTCCTTTGGCGTGATATTGAACATTTCGAAACCTGTCTCATGCACAGAACACATTCCATCAAATTTTTGAAAATTCAGGAATTCGGACGAACAGGACCTCTAGGCAAATACACGTAATTCCGACTCTCTCCGAAATTTAGTTATCATCCGTGTCGACTAGCAAAGAACGATACTAGCCATGTCCACATCGACATTCGCACAGGTACTGATACGAACACCCTCACAACCACTACTCTCTTTTAGGCTACTACGATGACAACAACAATGGCGGATATGATCCAAATGCTCTTTGTTCAGAAGACCCAACTACATTTGCAATGGTATGCACCTGTAATGCTGGTTATACTAACACTGGTAGCGACGACAA